AATGGTTCAAGATTCCAAATGATTTCATTGAAAGATTCATTGCAAAAGGCTGATGAAAATTATCCTACTTAATCTGAGTACTCAGTCTATTAATCCTCCATCTGAACCACTTTTCTACTCTGAAGAGACCACAAGAGTGTAAACAAAAGTCCAAATTATTGGCCTTGTAAGTGCAATAGACCCAAGGCTTTGCACTTTAGGCCTTTCCTGTTGTATTCTTACCGTAATCAAAACTCTGGTCTAGAAATTGATGTCTCACTTGCAATTAACTGGGACACTGGAAAAATGATTGCCCCTGAAGGTTTTGACAAGTTCTTGACACCAACCCAAATACCGCCAAGAGGGCTTCGATATGGGCCCCTCCCAGGGTTGATGGTCTCTTAAGAGATTTTCTAGTCAACTGTTACTAGTTATCCCTTAAACCACCAAGGGGAAACTGAAACTAAAGTCAATAGAAAACCTTGCAAAATTCTGGTAAATACTGGGCTACAGTTTCCACTTTAAATGTACTCACTCTGGAGCTCACAGAAAGGATTCTGGGAAAACTGGCAGAAGCTGGTGAAGAGTGAAAATTATCACCAGAATCAGCTTCCCTGGTACTCTATAGTGCCAGTCAGAGAGGAAGGTAAAATTCCTCTCTGACTGGCACAGTTTCTTACTTCCAAATCCAGACCCATTGGTTATTGACCCTTTCTCTCCCAAGGACAACTATTGCTTTTTGTTTGTTTTTTTCTTGTGTTCTGAGAATTTGGCTTGGCAACTGTCAATTTTGGGGCACCAAAAATATGGTCCAACAGAAATTTGGGCTGTACTTCAATTTGCAGCAGGGGCCTTACTGACAGTAACCAGCTCTCAACACTGTTGTGTAAGTCTTACTTTCCTTGGGCTATCTTTCGGAGTGGCTGTGGATCTTGGATCTATCATATCTTTTGCACCCTCTTTGAGGACACCTCTTGGGTCCATAATGTTGTTCAATACTGCCAGCAATATTTTCTGTTTGTCCAAGTTGAAACCCAACAAGATATTTGGGAGGATTTTTAAAGTAGTTCTATGCTGAAAAGTTGGCCAAACTGAAAGCTGATATTTAGAGCCTGATAAGAACTTTTTCAAAGGCCTTTTCTCCTAAGATAAATAAAACTATGTACCCAGAGGGAAAGAAAAACATTCCAAAGACAAACAGCTCTAAATCCAGAACTTGAGAAACTTCTGATTTGTATCTTAAAGATTCCCTATTATAGAGAAGGAAACTGAGGACAATAAAATTGGATGGGTGAATCAGTGCCTTGATATATTCAGACTCTTTGAGGAATTGAAAACAGCTGTACTACCAATTGAGAGCAACTTGTACAACTGGTCTTACAAATTCAGTCTTTGCAAGAACAGAAAAAGGCCCACTTACCCTTTTTACCAATCTCTAAACCTCCCCTATTCATCTCAAAACCCTTGTAGATATTATAAAAATTCGTACTTAGGAAACAAAAGTCCTTCTTGGAGGAATTTGTATTTTTTCTCTGTACCTTTGAGATAAAAATGCTCTGTCTGATCTCTAGAAACTGAGGCCATCTCTTTGAAACACAAAATTCAGGGAGGTAATTCTAGAAATCAGAAGAGAAAAAACAAACAAACAAACAAACAAACAAAAAAGGGAAACTGGAAAGGAGGCAAATAAAAAGTCTTAAGAGCTTTCTCCACAAACATTAGTAAAAAGTTTCAGTCATCTGAGCGGGTAACTTTATTTTATCTTCTAGAAACACAATTTAGATCCAAATTGTTCTTTTATAAACTGGTGAGTTTTGTATTATTGTACCTGTCCCATAGCTAAGAATTTTAATGCAAAAGCTATTAAGAGCTCTGTTTGCATATATCTCTGTGTATATGCATGTTCTTGTAGGTATGTTGCAGATGAAATTTTTTACCTCCAGATAGCAGTGCCAAAATTAAATTTTTAAAAAAGATTTTATTTATTTATTTGATACAGAGAGAGAGAGAGATCACAAATAGGCAGAGAGACAGTCAGAGAGAGAGGGGAAAACAGGCTCCCTGCTGAGCAGGAAGCCAGATACAGCCTGATCCCAGGACCCTGAGACCATGACCAGAGATGAAGGCAGAGGCTTAACCCACTGAGCCACCCAGGCACCCCACCAAAATTAATTTGTAAAGAGTTCTATTTAACTGGCTTAAAGAAAATTAACTGTTTTTATAAATCAACTATATTGTCAGATACAAATAAACTAACCCCAATATTTTTCAAGTTCTCATGATTGAGGACAATCTTCAGAAAAAAAAGAAAAAAGCTAGTTTAAGTTCGTTGGCTTAATTAAAATAGGAATGTCTTTAGGAGTATCAGCATTACATGTAATGGGACATACAACTTTTATTTAACCTAGATTTACAAAAAAATCAAATAATCTCATGTTATCTCTGTTACATAATTTGAAAGCAAGAATGATAACGTGATGGTGACCTACTTAATGACTCATGAAATTTTCATGAATAATCTAAACATAATTGTCAACAAGTAAATTAATTAGACATAAGATAAAAGTTTATAAATGAATTTTAAACAATCATTATGTTTTATGGTGTGTCTATTTAATTTTAAACAATAATTTTGCTTTATGGTGTGTCTACCTAAGAATAGTTTTGAAAGGGATGCCCGGGTGGCTCAGTCGGTTAAGCATCTGGCTCTTGAGTTTGGCTTAGGTCATGATCTCAGGATTGTCTCAGTGCGTTAGGCTAGTGCTGGGTGTGGGGCCCGCTTAAGATTCTCTCTCTCTGTCCTTTTCCCCACCCCTCTAAAAAATTTAAAAAAAAAATAGTTTCCAAAAACTTTTTGGTAACTTAAAACCTTAAAATTACACTGAAATAAATTAAATAATGAATATTCACTGAATATCAAATCATTTCCAAATAAAATAAAATACTGAAACATGAATAACTGAACATAAGCTTATCCACTTTTGGCTTCCTTTTACAAAGAAACTAAAAATATTTGGGTCTATTAGTAAACATGTTTTGTGCCACACTGAAAAATTTACTATGAGGAAGAATATACTTCGGGAAATCATAAAATCTATTTATAAATTTGCCAACCCACAGAATGCTAGCATAATAGTCCACAATTGCTTACTCCTTAGTTTTTACTAGAAATAAGAATTCTAAGGGTTAAGAATTCTAATTAGCATATGTCATTAAAGCCACTAGAAATATTAAGATAACCATCTCTACACAAGCAAACTAGGATGTGTATTTAGTAAGAAAAGGTATGAGGTATACAGATTGTTAAGGGGAAAAAATAATTTTGTCCTAAAGTAAAACAACTGATTGTTTCAGAATAAGAAAGAAAGAAAAAAAGGACAAAATCTGAATGAATATATACAGTTGTAGAAGATTTGTGGAAAGGAAATCTTGGGAAAGGAATATTATGTGTAGTCAAACTGGTTTAGGTTGAAATGGATTTAAAAAATGAGTTTTAATATCAAACGTATGCAGGTCAAATTTTATTTACCAAATTTATTTCACTATTCTCACATGTAACAGTTACAAATTATAGTCAGAGTTACTTTGCTCAATATTTGTTTTCCTTGCTAGAATTTAGCTAGGGCATAGCCATTAACTCCAGATAGCTGAAATTCCTGACTGGAACTCAGTTATCACAATACCCTTTGATATCCTCCACACACATATTAATAATGAAGTGGAGTTTTTTGTCTTGTCCTTACATATTTCAGTTGGTATATCTTTAGGAATACATCATGTTTTTTGAAACTTGACTAATGTTTTCCCTCTAAATTTTTTTCAATGAAGTAAAGAAATTAAAGTGGTTGTAATGTCCAGTATAATCTAGATACTTACTCTATTATGAAGGATGCTATAGGACCCCTTCAATGTTCAGTTTTAGCAATAAAACAGAGAAGCTCAAACAGAACTGAGACAAGGCCCCTAAGATATAGACCCTACTCCATATTACAATAGAATGTGAGAGGACTAATTTGTATTCTAGGAATACGTAATCACATATTTAGAGAGCATTTATTGGCTAACTAAATCTCTTACATCTTGTCCATTGTTACTAATTTGTCAAATAGTCTCTGGTATTTAAAATCTGAATAATCAAGGTGAGCTTTCAAGTTATTTGAGAAAAAAATATTTGAAAAGATATTTATTATGTAATTTCTATACATACATGTTGAAACAGATTTTGCATAGTTATCGTCAGGCAACGGACTTGATATGTGGTCACATTATTCAAATTAGAAGGTGATTCGTATTTTTAGCAAATGTTAAAAAAAAGTAATATGAGCCTCCAATCATTCTGTATTAACCTCATATATTGGATTCAAGACAATTTCATGTGTAACTTAACACACGATATAAAATCATACTGTGATATTTAAATTTGACTGTAGTTTCCCTTAGTAAGCTCTATTTTATAAATAAGCATGTAACCTTTATGCATAGATATAATTTAAAATATCTATTATAATTTAAAATACCTATTACGATCACAACAAAGATTTTAAAACTCTTTGGATTTTTAGTAAAGTTGGAAGTATAGTTAACAACTTAAAATGTTACTAAAAACTAAAGTACCTAACTTTAAGCCCTCAGTATTTAGCCTAAGTATGGGTGAGGTTCAAATTAACTGCGCTTGTATTTTCTATGAAACATAACACATAAAAATCTTGACAAATGTTGCTCCATAACTACATTTAATCCTTTTTGAATTGATAGCACCAATTTAGCATGATTAAGATTATAAGAGAAAATTCAGTTCCTTGATGGCAGAGGTAGAAATAAAGGTAAATCTTATGTATTATCTGCTTTTGGAAAGTCTACAAAATCCCCATTAGTTTTTCTCTCCAAACAACAACAAAAAAAATCAAGGCATCTTCTAAATACTATTACAATTCCAGGCAAACTGTTATATTTTCATCTTTAAGAAAAAGTTGAAAGAATGTTGCCCTAGTAGTTAGTATATTAAGAACTATCTTACAAACCTTTTTCAGTCCTTGGTTACTCTGAAGACTCTGAAAAGGTGATGGGTTTCAGATGAGCATTTCTTCTTTTCTGGGAGAGTGGACGTTGGTCTTGCCTATTCATTAAAGACAGCTTGGTCCTTGGTCACTTTGAGGCAACTGTGGCCTCAGACTTGCATCTGTCCTCTTACTCTACTCAACTATATTTGGTAACTGAACTCATGTTTCAGCAGACTGCCACGATCAGGAATTCCAGCAGTGGCCTGGGAAGCAACCCTAGGTCTGAGGACTGGGTTCTTAGAAATTAAAGGCACTAAGTGTAGAAAGAACTATATTTATAGATATAATAAACATAGGATTTACACATATCCCTCTACACTCTGACCTTGTGGCTCAAAACCACCACCTGTCCTTTTAACATATTCTTAATCAATTAAAAGTACAGTATGTGATTCCAAGCAGAAAAAGGGACCTTCATAAGAAATGCTCTTCTTTATTATAAACTTCTGCTCTGTATATTTAACTTTTAGTCATATGATAGATTATTCTCAAATAGTAAATCCAGTTAACTATTTAAAAATTTAGCCACCTGCCAAATTGAGTGGAGAGTTCCACTATTGTCTTACTTCAAGTTGTTAATTAAAAGTTATTATACGACTGGGATGCCTGGGTGGCTCAGTTGGTTAAGCAACTGCCTTAGGCTCAGGTCATGATCCCACATCGGGCTCCTTGCTCGGCGGGGAGCCTGCTTCTCCCTCTGCCTGCCATTCTGTCTGCCTGTGCTCGCTCTCTCTCCCTCTCTCTGACAAATAAATAAAATCTTAAAAAAAAAAAGTTATTATAGGACTATCATGTGTATTAAAGACATAGTCCATGGTAGGATTAAATAGGCATAAACATACAGGGACTGAATCTTATAAACACTACAACACTGAGTTCTAAGCTCAAGGCGTAGCATGTTATGAGTATCTAACAAAGATTTGTGGAAGAAATAAGTGTTGAATGAATATTTTTCAGCACAAATAGGAACCCTCTTACAGTTGTAATAAAATGTTTCATGACCATTTTATTACTTATTTTATAGCATCTCATTGTAACATATTCTAATATTCTGAACTTCCAAAAAACAAATAGAACTAAGAAGAAAAGAACATGTTTCTGTTCCGAGGTCAGGTAGCAAAGCAAAATCTAAGGGGGAAAAATAATCACAAAACCTCCCAGTTAAGTTAATTCGGAAATGAAGCTCTGAGTCTTCATATGTCTAAATAATACCATCACACTTGATCCAGTTTCTTATCTAAATAAGTTTTTTCTTTTTCTGATGGCAGAAAACTTATGAAGGTCTGCTCTTAAACTTTTTTTTTTACAGGCAAAACTGGTCCTTTACAAACGATTCTTGAAACTAGGTACTGTTGTGGGCTGTTTCACCCATTATATTTATTAATAAGTGTTTTCAAAATTTATATTTCTCGGGAAAAACCCTCTGACTGATGAATTTGTCTTCTTTTTACTAAAATCCCATAAGATAATAGTAAAAATCCAAAAGGATAAAATTGGTAAAGAAGACAGGAGATGATGGAAATGGAAAAAACTGTTGGCAAATGGTTAACATAAAAATGAGGGATCTAATTACATTAGAAAACTTAAATGTCTGCAGGACATGCTTATGAGAAGCAATAATTAGCCCCACAAAGTCCCAGAAAGGCTCAGGAATTGTAGGCACCAGGCCCCTCCCTGAAAATTTTAATTGACAATTTTAACTATTTCTGGGAGTGAGGCAGGATCTGAAAATAGGTAATTGGTTCAAAGAATCCCCAAGAAGCAGTTAGACCCTATTTTCTCATTTACATTTCGGGCAGCCAAGAGACTACCTTTTCCCACACCAGGAGAAGATGGGAGGGATAGTCTCTGGGAAATTAAAAACATACAATCTCCAGTCTCAGGAACACAAAACACAGATGAAAAGGATGAAGCTCTTGAAGAAATTTCTGGGGGTTGGATTAGAGAAGGGACAGAGGTTTCCAGTGTATCTAGTGGTACATTTCTAAAAAATAGCAATGATGGGAATATGAAAAAATGGTAACATTTGATATATCTTAGTGTGGGTGTCAGTTACATTAATATCTGTACTTTTTGTGTTTAATCAAAAATTAAACAAAAATCTCTGTTGTGTCCTAAGGCAAACTGAATATAAAGAGATTGTAGGAATCAAAGTGTTGTAACCTCTTCATGATATTACCTTAGTTATGGAAGGAACTGCTGAAACTAACTAGGCAAGTTGTTAAAAATGACATATGTACAATGAATATATAATGGTATTATTAATTTTAGGATAAATGGATGCTAGATATAGAACTCACACTTCATCTCAATGTTTTAAAAGATTTTATTGTTGTAGTAATAGTAAACTATGCAGGAGTAACCAAATATATTTCTTCTCTACACCAGAATGTATCTAGCCATAAGTTCTGTATATCCCAGGTTAATTTTTTAACCTCATCTAAAGAGTATGCTGGGGACAGGCACATTCATGTTAGTATTTTTCTCTTATTGAAAGACTGTATATTTGAAAATTGCTAAGAAATTTGATTTTAAAAGTTCTTATCACAAGAAAAAAACTGGGACTATGTGTGATGATGAATGTTAACTAGATTTGTTATGGTGTTCATTTCACAATATATACATATATCAAATCACTAGGTTGTACCCCTTAAAAAATTAATATAATGTTTTATGTCAATTATATTTCAATTAAAAAAGACCAGAGGGGTGCCTGGGTGGCTCAGTGGGTTAAGCCTCTGCCTTCAGCTCAGGTCATGATCTCAGGGTCCTGGGATTGAGCCACGCATCGGGTTCTCTGCTTAACAGGAAGCCTGCTTCCCTTCCTCTCTCTCTGCCTGCCTCTCTGCCTACTTGTGATCTCTCTCTGTCAAATAAATAAATAAAAACTTTAAAAAAAATACCAGAAAGATAAACATTCTTGCAGTTCTTAAAAAGAGAAGAGATAGGCATGCAATGCATTAAATGGTAAGGTCACAGAATAAAAAAATGAGTTATAGTGACTCATTCTTTTTTGTTGTTGTGGGGTCATTCACAAATAAAAGAAAATGTAAGTTTCCCCTTCCTTTTTTAAGGAAGTATAGCCAAATTTTATTATATTTAGTGTTATTTTGTCACAGGAAACTTTTTTTAGACATAGAAAGTTAAAAGTTGCAGGTGTAAAATCTTTTAAGGTGATATTGATTTACATGTATTATTAAAACAAGCAAAATAGATAATCATGTCAAAAAATAGGCAGAAGACATGAACAGACACTTCTCCAAAGAAGACATACAAATGGCTAACAGACACATGAAAAAATGCTCATCATCATTAGCTGTCAGGGAGATTCAAATCAAAACCACATTGAGATACCACCTTACACCAGTTAGAATGGCCAAAATCAACAAGACAGTAAACAACAAGTGTTGGAGAGGATGTGGAGAAAGGGGAACCCTCTTACACCGTTGGTGGGAAGGCAAGTTGGTGCAGCCACTTCAGAAAACGGTGTGGAGATTCCTTAAGAAATTAAAAATAGAGCTACCATATGACCTTGCAATTGCACTACTGGGTATTTACCCCAAAGATACAGATGTAGTGAAAAGAAGGGCCATCTGTACCCTAATGTTCATAGCAGCAATGGCCACAGTCACCAAACTGTGGAAAGAACCAAGACGCCCTTTAATGGATGAATGGATAAAGAAGATATGGCCCATATATACAATGGAATATTACGCCTCTGTCAGAAAGGATGAATACCCAACATTTTTATCAACATGGATGGGACTGGAAGAGATTATGCTGAGTGAAATAAGTCAAGCAGAGAGAGTTGATTATCATATGGTTTCACTTACTTGTGGAGCATAAGGAATAACATGGATGACATGGGGAGATAGAAGTGAGTTGGGGGAAATCGGAGGGGGAGACAAACCATGAGAGACTGTGGTCTCTGAGAGACAAGCTAAGGGTTTTGGAAGGGGGGTGGTGGGTGATGGGAGCCTGGTGGTAGGTATTGTGGAGGGCACGTATTGCATGGAACACTGAGTGTGGTGATAAACAATGAATTTTGGAACACTGAAAAAAATAAAATAAAACAAACAAAACAAAACAAAAAAACAGGTCTGTTGGATTATCTGCAGGGAAATGGGGGTTGGTGCTTCTAGGAAAAGATTCTGACTTAGAATCTTAGAATCTAAGAAGGTTCCAGACTTAGAGAGAGTTGGGTTCTCAGAACCTAGGAGGACACAGTGGTGGTGGGTTCTGCGGTTGGTGGTCATCCTCATGCAGGTTGGGACAAACACCTGTTCACAGCAGGGACTGAGTGAAGACAGCTGGGCTCTGAGCATTAAACATCACGGCCTTGGGGACTGCAGTGAAAGAGGTAGAGGTTTCTTTCTAATGGGAGCTAGAACAATAACTCTCACGATGTATCTCAGTGGTGAGCATATTGGTCTACTGACCAGAGGGAGGGTCTCTCCTACATGTCGCTGGACTGCCTGGTTGTTAGATCCTGTTATACAACCAGAGAAATGATGAAAGTCATAAGAAGGAAAAAGTACAAAAAGGTAGCTTATGGTCCTGAGAGAGGATTTCAAGTTAGATAGGATTTTATTCAAAAAGGTACAGAAATAGATTTCTTCTTGTATATCATGAGGAGTGTAGCAAACCACGCTTGTTTTTTGTTTAAAAAAATTTTTTTTTTTAATTTATTTGATAGAGATCACAGGTAGGCAGAGAGGCAGGCAGAGAGAGAGGAAAGAAAGCAGGCTCCCTGCTGAGCAGAGAGCCCGATGTGGGGCTCTATCCCAGGACCCTGGGATCATGACCTGAGCCAAAAGCAGAGGCTTTAACCCACTGAGTCACCCAGGTGCCCCAACTATGCTTGTTTTAAACATATTGTAAGAATCTGAGAACCAAACCCTTCTTTTGCTTAGGAAAGACTCCTGGCAAAGGCACTTGAGTAATAACGAGGTTTAATTAATATTATGGATGAGATTAGCTCATACACAGTAATATAGTTTCTCAGGCACTTTTATTATTTACCCCCAGAGCCCATTTCTATGATTACCTTCTTTTGTTATAAAAATTCCTGCTCTTTTTTGAAGTGCTTGATTTGAAGCGCATCTTGCACCCACTGTTTTTTTTTTTTTTAAATTACGACTTTGGATCTAGTTGGGCTCTTGATTCTTCGCACTCCAAGTGCTTCCATCACTCCGGGTGTTGTCAGCATCTATTTGTTTATTTATTCCACAAGTGGCATATTGGTTCTTTAACCTGCTTATCTTTCATGATCTTCGGGTCTGTTCTTCTACTTACAGATGGCATAAATGGACCTGCTCCATCTCTTAAATCATGTATTAACTACTCTTTCATGACAAATTGTTGAAAAAAACTAGTGTCCTAAAACAACAACTATTTATTGTTTCACACAGTTTCTGTGCATCAGGAACCAGTGGGGTCTCAGCTGGGTGATTCTGGATCAGAGTATCAAGAGATTGCAATTAAGATGTTCCTCATAGCTACTCTTGTCTGAAAGTGCGATTGGACCTGGATGATCTACTTCCAGGGTGGCTCACTCATGTGTCTAGAAAGTTAATGCTATTGTTGGCAGGAGCCCTGTGGACTTCTGTGTATCATAGCTTGAGTTTCCTTATGTCATGACAGCGAGATTCCTCTAGAGTTAATGATTCAACAAAGAGCAAGATGTAAGCTACAATGTCTTTTATGACCTAGCCTTGGAGATCACATTCCATCTTTTCTGCAATATTCCTTGTTTATGCAAGTCAGCACTATCCAACATAGAATGAACTTCACAGGGGCATACCAGCTAATGAGATCATTGGGGGTCATCTTGGAGGGTCTCTAACATACCTTTATTCCATTAGCTATACTTGGACAGGCTACAATTTCAAAACTGTAAACTTCAATCCTCCAGACCTATCCCTCAGTGACTACACTGGCTTTTCTTCTTTACTGAGACTTCCAGGCTATAAATCACTCTACTTTCATGTTATCTATACATCTGTCTTACAGTTTCAGGTTAATTAAGGACAAAGTATAGTTTAGTACACTGGTTTATGAGTTTCCTTTTAAAAGACGCAGACCTTTGTTGTTCAGACAAACAATAGGTGAAGATAATCAAAACGTCTTTGATGGAAGGGGTGTAAAAAGGAGTGTGCAGACTTGCTCCTGCACCCTTCTTTAAAATTTTCTCTCCTGGAGGCCCCAGAAGTTCTGAAAAATTCTCCAACTCTCAAGGAGCTGGCCTACTTACCCCCACTTCTGAACATTTTACTCCCCCTCATTCCTGGCACTCTCTACCAGCAAACAGAGATTATGCGGCAGCAAATAAAATAGTAACTGAGAAATCTGATCAAGAAACAAACTAAAAATTGAGGCAGAAAATGTTCAGTTTAACACAAATTTATCCTATTGAGCCACTTGTTGGCCTACCTGGTGATCTTAGGAGCAAGTGTGCTTCAAACCATGGTGTCTTCCTACTTCTTTCTCTTACTTTGTATCTGACTTGGATACATGCCACAGAATCAGGTATGCTCCCAAAGACTTGTTTGATTAAACATTATTTTCACCTCTATCAAACAGCAAACTTCAGATTTGTCCCTCATGAGTTTTATTTTATAAGCTGTGGATCTGCTGCACATGTGTAGCCCAAGCCTGTGGGTGGTCTTTTGATCATATGCTTCTGCTACTTGAGATATTTGCCAATTTGTGTATGTGCACAAAAATGAATAGAGAAAAATAAATTTTATCATAACAGTAATAAAAGTAGAGTTGAAGTACAGGAATAGATTCCATAATCCATGTTTCTATAAGGATATTTGGGCACAGTTAGATATGACCCTTAATCTGAAATAATCTCATTTTCAACTTGGTTTATAGCGTCTAAGTATAAAAGTTTTATACTTCTGGGCTTGAAAGCCAGTATCATAAATTCCAAAGCAGCTTTTGTTGAACTTAAGCAAAATAATTTTAACATTTCTTTATAAAGACAGAATAATATGGATATCAAAATGAACTAAGAAGGAAATACAGGTTGATATTTTGAATAGCAATATAAAATCTGGAAACTTATTAGTAAATAGAAGTCAATAGTATATTAAAGAAGAATATAGAATGACCAACTAGGTTTTATATTAACATCCAAAGATGTAACACTTAATTCTCATATTAATAAGTCAAAAGACAAAAGCTATATGGCCATTTCCATAGATTGCTAATGGGTCTTTGGACAAAATTTGACAACCACTCTCAATTAAAAAAAAAAAAACAAAAAAACTTGTGGGATGGGAAAAGAATGGGAAGAATTTATTTTGTAGCAAAATTCTTAAAAATAATCTACAAATGTCATATAATTTAAATTAAAACAGATTTTTTTTTTTTGTGGAAAAAGAAAAAACAGATACAGAGATTATCTAGAGGAATTAGCATGGTGAAATATCCAGGATGATTGTGAGAAAAGAAACAGTATTAGAGGAGTAGCCTTTCAAGACCGCTGGAGTACTATTTCCTTATGGATGAACAATAAGGAATGGAACAAGGATTTAAATGGAATGATATATCTTATTCCTGTATATGAAGAACATTACATTCAAATAGGAGCGCATATTAAATAATCACATGTCAATATCTTGGCTTTGTTCAATTCCATAGATCTGCTCCTCATTATAGTTTAAGAAACTGGATTGCTATTTTTCTTCATTCAGAAAAATAACTGTTGTTAAGGCTCACACAAGTTGGAAAAAAAAGAATGTGGAATGAATAATTAAGTGTGCAGTTATGAGACTATATTGGAGATAGAATTAGGATAAAAAAAGTATACCTATCTGTGTGTATTATCATCAAACATATCTATGTATAATTACATCTATATATCTATATCTATGTCTATAATTTCTCCTGCTTTCTTGGCCTATGAAAGAACAATTCTAAAGTTTTCCTGCAAGGTTAACAGTGTTTAATCCAGGGGAGTAAAGGCACTCTGACTGGGATAGTGAATAGAGTTCTGTGGGAGACGTTACTCCAATGTGACTGTGCTGTTACTTTTAAAAATGGCATCAGATAATCTTGACGATTACTGTTTTACATCTTACGTTTTTCCTTGCTATTACTACTAATTTTTAAAATGTATTTTCTAATATAGTATAATAAGAAGTAATATGGAAAAGAGATCCTAAATATAGTATTAAGCGAGACAAACACATTGTACGTTAGTATTGTAACTGGAAGGTAAAATTAAAGGAAACCTTCAATTATCTTTTTTGTATTTCAAATTTGTATGTGCTTGCATTACACTTATCCAACATAGAAGGATAACTTATCATTACCTTATCATTAAAAAATGCTGAAAAAAAATTAACCACATAATGAGCTTAAAGTCATTTTAATCTTTTAAAATCCTCTCTTGACTGATGCATCTACTACAAAGTAAAAGTTTTTGAAATCTGCATATAAAATAGAGCGTAACTAATTAAAGAAGTTTTGAATCCAGCATATCTTAATTCAGAGAATTACAAATAAACTTCATTGATTTTAAAGAAAAATGGTTTCTTCTAAGCTCGGTTAGCTTTTGCCTGTTGATTGGCAAATCATCAGATCTATTTATAAGTGGACTGTATTCTGCATATATGAACATTCATCTTCATCTGGCTAATTTTAAATGTCATGGCCTTTAGATGGTAGCTACACTTGTGGTGAGCATAGCATAGAGTATAAACTTGTTGAATCACTGTATTTTACACCTGAAACTAATGTAATATTGAGTTTCAACTATAATTTTAAAAAAAGTCACAGTCTTTGACCCACTCTTTCCTAGATTTGCTTTGAGAATGTAGCCCTAACTACAGGAAAAGCTTTATGTAAAAATACATTAAACTCTGCACTGTTTATAATAGCAAAAGACTGAAGCAACTTAAATGCAATTTATGGACAGCTTGGTAAACTCATGGAATTTTGAAGTGGCCATAAAAACTGATTTTTCTGCAATGTTTACATTAACATAGAAAATGCTCATTATATTATGCTGGGGAAAAGAAAGAAAACCAATAGTTTTTATAGTTTGACTATAACTTAAAAAAAACCTTAAGGACCTTTGCAGGGTTGAAAATTTTAATGTTTTAAATTGAGTTGGTTTGATATTTAAAAAAAAAAAAGAAGACTTGACTAAACTGAAGTCATTTGGGGTTTTTTTCCTCCATTAGAAGGGAAAGACAAAGCTACCAAAATAATTGGCTATTTAACACTGGCTTTGAGACCCATTTGATCTAAATAAAAACTGGCAGCCTTCTGTTTCTCTTAAAGTTTGCATTTTAAATGCCTCATGGAGATATTTAATGAGGGAATATTAAACTTGAAAGTGGTCACTGCCAGACAACTAGGGACAGCTGTATGACAATTTCAGGAGCTGCTTACCAAAGAAAGTCTGATGTGGAAGGGTGTGGCTGTTTTCCCTGGGGGAAACAGAAAGGAAGGAAGACTATGACAAAGGAGGAAATCAGCTGTTAGACCAAAGAAGGATTTAAGCATTGAAAAAATGCCAACCATTGAAGACAGTTGCTCTATCATACAAAATCCTGAGGCCTGTCCATGGTCTACTTCTGTTGGCCTAGCAATTTGCTCAGCTATTGCTATTTTGGGAAGGAATTTCCACCGAGCTGGCCTATCTTCAGCCCCTGAGGTTTCCTCGGATTGACTGATCAACAGGTGTTGAAAAAGGCTGTGGCAGAAATATCACAGACACAGTGTGCTCATTTGACTTCTGTAACTGTGTGATTATAGTTTTACTTGATTATCATTTCATAATCAAGGAGACTTCCTATAAGAGAAAACCTAAACACATTATTTATGACATTTATAGGTAATTGCTTTTCCACTGTTGGGCCCCCCAAAATTGGGTACTCCAATAATGGGTCCGTGATTAAAGGAGCGAGACTGATACAAAGCGAAGGTCAAGCAAAGCTTTATTTTGCGCCAAGCATCAGGAATCAGACCTACGGTCAAACAGACTGATCGGGGCCGCCCCTTATAGAGAGGATGACCCCTCCCTGCTTTCCAGACTAACTTTTATAGAGCAAAGGCCATGTGGTTGGGCCTGGCCACACACAGGTGGCCAATGAGATTGTAACACATACAGGAAACTCCACAGTGATGCTAGGCGACCAACTGAATTACAATTTACCCTAGTAGACATTTGAACCAGCCTATCACCTAGTTCAGAATTGGCGTCCAAAAGGTGCCCAAAGGGCGGGGCCCATACTCCTTCGTAGCTAGGAGACAGTATGCGTCCCCACTGATTGGATACCTCCACCTGGCCTGACCCACACTTGTATTTGGACTTTGTTACCTGGGACTGGTTCCCCGGACTTGCTTTTAAACAAGTTTCCCTGGGCGGGGGTGGGGGGGTGGGGGTGTGGGGGGGGTGTGTCAATTTAAGTTTTACAACAAAATGGCAGTTCAACCAGGGTGGGGCCGCTCTGGCTGAATAGGCCCTTACACCACAGAGACAACATATATATTTGTTAATACCATATGTATTTATAATTTATAAATTAAATATTGTACTGATGGTTATACACCTGAAATCTAAGTAAATATGATATAGAATGAACTTTTCTTTTCTTAGAAGGGGGAGGGGCAGAGAGAGGGAGAGAGGGAGGGAGAGAGAATCCTAAGTAAGCTCCATGTCCAGCGCAGAACTTGATCCTAGGACCTGAGCTGAAATTGAGTATCAGACCCTTAACTGACTGAGCCACCCAGCTGCCCTGGTTACATCATTTTTATACTAAATTTCATTTGGTTTTTCTTTAAAATTTAGAGCAAAAGAAATACAGGTACATGAGTCATTCTAAGTTACAATAAAAAGAAAATTTTAAAAAGGTCCAAATTCTCAGTTTACGTGTCTTGCGTACGTATTTTGGGGTGGAGTAGCTAACGTTCATGGAATCCCCACTTGATAAATTTGTATCATAAAAGACAAAATACATTAAGAACCTGTGGGACTGATTTCAATAATAGTGAAGAAAAGAAATAAAAATTAAATCCTATGTGCTTTGGGGTGGAGCACTGATACTGTAACATTTAAAGCACTTTATGAGATAATTTAACAGACACAGAATATTGTGCTTAAGCAAAGATATTTAGAGTTAGATCAGATTTCAAGATCTTGGCTACCGCTAATCCGCTGTAGGACTATGCATCTATAATTTAACCTCTTTAAGACTATTTACCTCATCTATTAAATGGAAACAATAATAGTGTGCATCTCATGGTTATTTTTGTGATGATTAAATGTGATAATAATACATAGTAAGGGCTTACCATATTGCCTAGCATTCAAAAGAGCTCAGCAAATGCTTTTACGATAAAGCCCAATTTTCTGCTACTAGCAAAGTGTTCATATGATACCTAAGTCCAGTAAGCCCCAGATACTAGTGATCTGACATAAGATGAACTCATGACTTAGTCACTGGTCAAGTTTCAGATTCTTTAGTTTTCTCGATATCATCATTGGGAAAAATAAACAACAATTTCAATCAAAAAACCCAAAACCAAACAGAAGTGATCAATGCCTCCACTGCCTTTTAAAACTAACTTGATCTTCAGGCTTTGAGAAGAAACCTTTTTCTGGGCTCTTACTATTGTGGACAAGTTACCTTTTCTTTTAAGATAAAACTGCTGGCTTCCAATTCTTTCCATTTACTACCCAACTCTGGTAGGGCGGCCCTCACTACCAGCACATGCACAACATCATGGAATTAAGTGTCTGGAGCACTAAAAGGCAAAACCAGGCTGGGGTTGAAACCCCCAAAGCAAACACGAATAAGTGTCATAACAAAAATAAAAGGCCTTTCCCCCCTCAATTTAAAGTCTTTGTGATTAATTATTGGCGTTACAAATGTTCCCAGTGCACATTAAGACTATGTGAAATTCTTCATAAAAATGAAATTCTTATGACAGAAACTCAAAGTCCTCGTCCTCTTTTACTCCATTTTTAAGTGCCCAGCACCCACATAAGAATGCCACATCTTACTGTGAAATTTCACACTTCACAGTGTCCAGCATTTAATTTCTCAGCCTCTTCATTTTCTTCGACCAATCTTGTTTAGATTTCCAGATATTTCTGTCTACATTCCTTTTCTAGTTACATCCATGTCCTAAAGATCACTATTGCCTCTATTTCCTCTTTGAAATTCTCAGTGTAACCCGATGAGTGGGGGGAACTTTCAATCCTGCACCACTATTCTGGGCATGAAAACTGGGAAAAAAGAAAACCCAAAAGTTCCAGCCCGGAGACGGAAAACAGAAACCGCTTTCCTAGGTACAAAAGGGTGTCTGAGCCGCTCTGCTTGTCAGAAGCCCACATTCAGGCTCACCCTGGAGCCTCCACTTCCGCTCTGCTTTCGGACTCCTACGTCACTTCCTCCTCGGAAGGCACGGGGAAGGCGGCACCCTGCTGCTGCACTTCAATGGCTGTGCCTTCAGTTCGGCTCCGGTTCCCTGGT